CGGGCGGCGCGCCTGTGCAGGGCCGGCGCGCACAGGCTGCTCCGGGAGCCGCCGCCGCAGGGCCGGGCGCTGGGCGGGCTGCTGCGCTGGGTGGGCGCCAGGATGGGCGAGCCCCGGGCGCCGCTGGTCCCCGACGCCCCCGCCGCGGACCCCGGCCCCGCCGCGCCGCGCGGGGGCACCGCCGTCATCCTGGACGTGAGTACGCGCGGGCCGGGACCCCCGCCCGGCGGAGCCCCGCTGGGACCCGAGCCCTTCCTCCCATCGGGGCCCGGCGGCACCCGGGGCCCCTCCTCCCTGAGCAGGAGACCCCGGCCACCCGCTTCGGAGGCCGCGGCGGGACCCCTACCCCAGCTCTCTGCGTCCCGAGCGCGAGCCCCCAGCCCCTCTGCGCCCGGGGCGGTCTCCGCCTGGACCGGGTCGGCCCCACTTCTCTCTTTGCTTCCACTTCCCGGGATCCGGGCTGGACCCTTGAGCCCCTGCTCGCGGCCACCGCCCCCTATTTCGGTTCTAGCCAAACCCTCTCTATTTAAACCTGGGGACAGGAGCCCCTGGCCGCCCCACCCCCGCTTCTCTTCCCCAGATTCCTGCCCGGAGCGATACTTTTTTGAGACCCCCCACGCCCCTGGCTCTTGCCCTCTTCTTTGCTCTGGACCCTGAGTCTTCCCGTTCTGGGCTGCAGAGACCCTTGGGCCCTGCCCATCCATCCGGAAAGCCAAGTCCCCACTGTCTCCTGTCCATGGACCCAGAACCATCGCCCCCCACCCGGAGCCCAGTGCTGGGACCCCTCCGGCTCCCCACCCACTCCACTCTGAGCCCCTCTGCCCGCCGTTCCTTTCCCCACCACCCTCCCTACCAAGAGCTCCATCCTTCTCACCCCTACTAGCTCCCCACCCATCCTGACCACCCACAGAGCCCACCTCACTCTCCCATCTTGGGTGGGGGAGGCTTGGGGCAGCAGGCTCCCCCCACTAAAGCATGTGGCAGCAGGAGGAAGGGGGATCAGGGAGGGTGCGGGTCCCAGTGGGGATCCTGTGCAGCTGGGGGTGCCTCTGTGTGTGTCATGGGTTTCTGTGATGGTTGTGGGTGTTTCTGTGTGAGTGTGTGCACATATGTGTACCACGCATCGCATCCCTGCAAGTGGAGGGACCTGGGTTTCCTGTCTCCTCCTCCCCGATCCCATAGGTGGGTCTCACTGGAGGGCTGGAAGGGGGGGCGTTCTGGGGCCTTGGGCGCACACACCCACTTGTGCATGCTTGCACACACACACACACACACACACAACAGGGCACACAGCTACACTGGCTGAGCATGAGTGAGCTCAAAGTCCCAGGCAGAGGCCGCAGCACAGCCTCCCCCTGCAGAGAAGCCCTGCCCAGGGGCCAGCCTCTGCCTCCTCTGCCTGGCCATGTGGGCTCCGGGGCTTAGGTGTCCTCATCAGTGAAGCAGGGAAGGGGCTGGGGAGGTGCTCATGCCCACTCCAGAGGCAGCCTCACCGGATGTCCACTGTGCCGTGTCAGGACCTGCCTTAAGGATCTCTGCCCAGTCGGGAGCAGCCGTGTGGGTGCCCAGGCTGGGTCTTGGGGAGCCCGGCTGGTGTGGGAGCTCAGCAGGGAAGCAGGGAGGCGGGGAAGCCTCCCTGAGTGCTGCCTCCGGCCGACTCCATGCTGGGCCTGGGAGGGCTGGGACACTCCTGCCCTGTCACTTGTAGGGGTGAGGGTGGTTAAGGGCATCTCTCCTTCGCTCCAGAGTGAGGACTGAGATAGATGGCCAGAGGGGGTGGCACCTCCCGCGTAGCTCACTGGGCCCAGCCAGACCCCCTGGTACCTGGGAGAACACGGGGGGGGGGGGGATTGCCAGTGTCACTGCCCTCCTTGGGGGTGGCTGAAATCAGCCAGTTCCATTGGGTGGGGGTGCCCCACACCCTGGAATCCTTCTGACTTCATTGTGCTGGTGACTCAGCCCTTGGGGCCTGGTCAAAGTGCACGTTCCCACTCGGTGGGTCCAGGGGGGCTGACTCTCTACATGCTGACAAGCCCCAGGTGGGGCAGCTGCTGGCCCTGGAACCTCACTCTGTGGGTGGCCAGGTCACTGTGGTGGTTGACCCAGGTCTGCCCTGAGCAGCAGACCCTTGGCTCTGAGGTCCAGCCTGGGCTGAGGGGCTCTCCAAGCCCCCGGCCGTCTTCACTGCCTTGCTTCTGGACACACAGTGCCTGTCACCAGCCTGACCTTGAGGCCGGTTGTCTGGAGAGGATTGCAGAGTGCCTGGTCTCTGGGTTCAGGCTGGGCAGGGCCTGCCCCCCATGCCCACAGCTGGTCATCTGAGCTCCTGGCCTCCTGCCCTCACCCACTCCCCTGTCCAGACAATGGAGTTGTCCTGCCCTTGGCTGGTGTCATGGCCACACCTGGGGGACACCTCCTCCAGACCTCACCCAGCCTTCCTGGAGAGGCCCTAGGGTTTGGAAGGAGTGTGGGGTGAAGCCGGTGGCCCCGTGGGACCCTGCTGAGTGCCAGGCAGCGGGTGGGTGAGCCGTGGGAATGTGGCCAGGCACACCTGCAGGGATGTGTGTGGGCGTGTGAGTGCAGGGGTGTGTGAGTGCAGGGTGGGTGGCTGCCGCAGGCAGGCCGTGGGCAGGCTGGCGGCGCAGAGGGAGGGGGTGGCCCTTCCAAGGCAGGGCTGGGAGCCTCGCCTGCAGGTCCTTCCCCTGCCCCGGGGCCCTGCCCAGGTCTCCTCCCTGGGCCAGAGCTTCTCCTGGGGAAGGGAGGGATCTCAGGTCCAGCACGGAGGGCGCCTGGCCCCTACCAGCTCAGGGCCGACCCCATCTCTCTTCTCTGCAGATTTTCCGACGTGCGGACAAAAATGGTGAGTTACCTCGCGGGCTGTCCGCTGAGTGAGGAGCAGGTTCTCTGTCCTGATGCTTCACAGGGACGGGATCAGGGGTAGGAGACGTGGACAACCTTGAACCTAAAGACTCTCGAATCAGAAGGCCGGGTCCTGGTGCTGCCCTGGGCCTTGGTTTCCCGCCTGCATAGCGGGCATCCCCGTAGCCTCTGCTGCGAGGGCCCGGGCTGGGCCTGTGATGCGGAGGACCCTGGGTGTGCTTGTGCTGGCATAGACTGCCCAGGGCGGTGGACTGGCCTCAGAACTACCCTTTAAAGGAAGCCCCAGCCTTATTCCAAGTCCCTTGAAGCCTGGGCACGTCCTCATAGCCGCCCGGTGCAGTGGGGGCAGCTGCCCTCTACTGTCAGTGCTTGATGACCCAGAGAGGTTAAGTGACTTGCCCCCGGGTTGCTCAGCAGCTGAAGGAAGTCGGAGCTGCGTCATGGACCCCCAGCCCTTGCCCCGTACCTCTCAGCACTTCAGCAGGGTGAGCCCCATGTTGCTGTGGCCCAGGAACTCGTGGCTCCTCCACTCCTGACTTTTGGGGAGACCCACCAGGAGGGAGGCAGGGGCTTGAAGATGAAGCAAGGCCTGCACCTGTGCTCCTCCCGCGAGGCCCTCAGCCTGCGCCTCACTAAGAGCACCACAGTCACCGTCGGGCTCAGAGCATCCCTGTGACCTCTCCCCAGGATGCCCTGTCCCATCTGTTCCCAGGCTGGTGACACCTACCCTGCCTGCTGCCCTGGGCTCTGGGAAAAGCCAGGCAGGAGCTGGGGGCACTGTCAACTGCCCCCCGGCTGTGGGGTGGAGCGCAGGCACAGAGGTCCTGGAGAGGTCTCCCGCCTGACCCCATCCTGCACGTGAGGCCAGCTCAGGGTGAAGGCCATTGGCAGTGACTCCAGGAGGGGAGGAGGGAGAGGACGTGGGAAGATTAACTGGAGCCCAGGAAATGGCCGCCGCACTGCGGCCTGCAGAGCCTCCGCCGGGAGCTGAAGGAGGCCAGCCCGGCTCCTCCAGCAGGCTGGGAGGGCCTTGCGGGTGGGGATTTGGGTCTGTCCCCTGCCGTGGGGCTGCTCACACACTCAGGGCCGCCGCTAAAGGGTGATTGCGGGGAGGAAGCCTGCCCGTCGGGGAGGTGCTGGCCTCTGCCGGGAGCCCCGCTGTGGGTCCACACTCCTGCCCGGGAGAGTGAGAGCTTCCGACTGCCATCCCCCGGGATGTGTCCTTCCACCCTGTGGGAAGCTGTTTCTGTCCCCTGTGCACAGCTGTGGGGACCCTCGTGTCATTCCTGCAGCCGCTCCTCCTCCCGGGGTCGTATGTGTTCCCACCACTGCCGTGTGGCCATGAGGGGTTGTCACCAGGGCTAACGTGGTGTGAGATGCCAATTCCAGTGGGAGATTCCAGGCTCAGGAGGTGAGGCTGGGCCCCTCCTCTGTCCCTTGCAGGGACAGTGCATGGCCAGCCTCTGCAGCAGCTCTGCCAGGGATTCATGTCCTGGCTCAGCCGCTTCCAGCTGAGCAAGAATGTCACCAAACTCAGGGCCTCCGTTTCCCCATCTGAAAAAGGGGACTGTGACACCCACCCCGAGGGCTTGTGGGCAGAGAGGAGCTCCAGGCTTGGCTCCTAGGAAATTAATCTGCCAAACCGGCCGACGGGCACTGAGTCCCTTGGAGAAGGGCCACCTATGGGTGTGGCTGGTCAGCAGGCATTTGCTGGCACCCTGGGCTCCCTGGAAGCTGACCCCTGCCAGGGTGCTAGCGGTCCCCGGATGCCTGCAGTGTGTCAGGACTCCTTGGATGAACTGCTCCCCTTTCACGGATGACAAAGCAAGGTGTGGGCAGCAGATGGTGTTCTTGAGGTGGGTAGGGTGCAGGTGGGGTTCTGACTCAATGCTGGAGGTTAGAAACAAGGGGTGGGGGCAGCCATGGCAGTAGGTGTGCATGGCGCAGGCGCAGATGATCCAGATCACAAGCCCCTGCGGCCCTGCTCAGGTACCTAGGGAAGGACCCCAGGGTGCCTGGGGGGTGGGAGATGGGCGTGCAGTGTCCACCCGGGCTGCAGATCAGAGGGCATAGGCCTCGGAGACTACAGCAGCGAGGACCTGAGGGCTGGCTGTCATGGGGGCACCCATGACAGAGTCCGTCTTGGCCAAGGTCCCCAGGAGACACCTGGAGTGGGGACCCTGACAGACAGCCTGGGATATGAACCCAAAAGGTGGCACTTGAAGGCTGACAGAGAGGTGAGGGCCAGCCACCCTTTCCCCCCAGGGCCAGGGACACCAGGCTCTTGATGTTTGAAAGGCCACTGCCTCGGGCCAAGCTCGTGCTAATTAGTGAAGACACCTGAGAAGACCCTGCTCAGCATCTCTGGTGGAGATGGCAGTGCTGGCCTCGGGCTCGGCTAATTGGACACGAAGCCTGGGGGGAGGGTGTTTTGCCTCATTAACTGATACAGGTTCATTAGCCCCGCGGTTGTTGATGTTCAAGGTAAATGTCAGCTGAAAGCCTTTGTGGTGGGAATGGCCGGCTGCTGCCTCTTCTCCCTGGTGCAGAGAGGACCCAGGTGCTGGGACAAAGAGGAAGAGAGGGAGGGGGTGCTGCAACCCCGCTGTGCCTGGTGGCCTTCAGACCTGGCAGATCAGCCGCAGCCCGTCCAGGCCTGGCCTCAGCTTCTCCCCCCGCAGGACAGGACTGCTCACCGTCCCTCGCCAGAAGCAGTGGGGGCACTGTGCTGGCCCCTGCCGAGGGCTGGGTAGATGAGGGGTCTTGTCACAAGACCCTGGCCTGGGTTGGCCTGAGGGTCTGGGCTCAAGCTACAGCTGCAGGACCTGGGTTTGTCCCTATAAAGGGGGATGCCGGGCCTCGGGTGGAGAGCCTGGAGCAGTGGGGACATGGAAGGGGTGCTGGCGGGAGGCTGCCCCCTGCCGGGACACCTGGATGGGCCCCAGAGCGCGAGAGCTGGCTGGAGGTCTCACGGTTGCCTTTGGGGTCTTGGTGTGTAGGGGCTTGTGTCTGAAAGATACAGATGCTTCCTTCCTCTGCGACACCACGTCCCCCTCTCCCAGCCCGATGCCTTACGGCCCCCAGGGAAACGCGGGGAGCCGCCGGGAGCCTGAAGGTGCCCCGAGTGTTCTGTGGGCCTGGCAGGGCACCGGGTGCAGGCAGAAGCACGGGGCCTTTAAGCTTTAAGAATGATTTCCATTCTGAACCCAAGAGGGCCTGCCATATGCGACTGGGCAGGTCGTGCCCTGCACAAAGGCCCTCATTCCCGGGGGACAGAGGCCTCGGGTCCAGGTGGCACTCCACTCCAATCCTGGGCTTCGTCCCTCCACAGGGAGAGGGGTGTCTGATCACACGCAGGTGCCGGGACTTACGGGGATCCTCCCCTTAAGCAGCTGACTTTGATTGCCGACTCACTAGGGGCTGCGTGGCCTTCTGCCCGTGCTCTGCGGCTTTCCCATAAGGTGGGGCAGGTGTGGGGCCAGCATGCCAAGTGCTCAGCAGGTCCGCCGGGCGGAAGGAGCAGGGCTGACACGAGGGACTGGAGTCCCCCTTAGCTGCCTCCCTCAGTGGCCCAGGCTGACCTGATCCCACGAGACCTTCCTGGTGGGGCCAGCGGTGTCCCCTACAGATAAGTGCACACAGCCAGCAGAGGGGGAGAGGGGGAGGCAAGTGCAGGGCGGATGCATGTGACCCTCTTTTAGGGCCTCGCCACCCACCACCCCAGACCACAGCTCCAGCCAGACGCGGTTCGCGCAGGCTCCTGTGGTGCTGGGCTCGGCCCTGCTGGCACCTCCTTCCCTTGTGGTCTGGCGGCTTGAAAGAAGTGTTCATGGCCAGAGAGAAGAGTAGTGCTGACCATGGACAGGCGTCTCTGGCCGCCATGTGGATGGGCCCAGTGGAGGGGCTGGGTCCTTCTTCAGAGTCAGGCCCGAGGGCCGGGGTCTGCCGGTCACCGTGGAGAGACCAGGTGGAAGCAGTAGGCGTTCATCAGACCACAGGCTCAGCTGCACCCTGACCAGTGGCGTGTTGCTGGGCAGGTTGCTGGGATGGGCGGAGATGGGACAGAGGCCATCCTGGAGGCGGACACTCTGTTCTTTGAGGGCATGCAAATGGCTGTTTTGCAGCGAGACCCAGAGGGCTAGCTGTTGTAGCACTTGTTAGTTGGAGGGTCGTGGCTGGGTCTGTGGAGTTGGGCATCCCCGGGTGAGTCTGGGATTCTGTGAACTGGAGTTTGCTGATTAACTGGAACCCGCTAGACGGGCCAGGATGATGTGAAGCAGAGCTTCTCTGCTGAGCTGGGACGAGCTGGGGGGGCGGGGGGTCATCCCGGCTGGACCTATCTGGATGGAGGGGTGTGCTGGGCCTTGCCGGTCTCATCTGTAGATGCCAGCTGCTCTGCTGTCTTGCCACCTTACAGATGACGGGAAGCTGTCCTTGGAGGAATTCCAGCTCTTCTTCGCCGATGGCGTCCTCAACGAGAAGGAGCTGGAGGACCTCTTCCACACCATCGACTCCGACAACACCAAGTGAGCCCCTGCCCGGCCAGGGCGCGCCCAGCCGCGTGCAGCAGCTGTCCCTTCTTGTCCTGAAGGCAGCCTCGTTTCCCAGGCCCCTGTGAGGCAGGGCCCCAAAACGCCCAACCGTGCTCATCCAAAAGTCAGATCCATGTGGCCTTCACTGCCCGGGCTGATGTGGGGAGTGGACAGGTCGATTCTGCATTGGCTACTGTCACAGAATTGGTCTTTTCTGAGCATCTTGGCCAAGCAAGGACAGACCCTCAGCTCTGCCTATACACGTGGACAGTGAGAACGGGCAGTTGGCAGTGATGTCATTTCTGACCCCACCCTAAGCCAAAGCCTCGTGCTTTCTCCAGCCCCGGCCTGGACCATGGTGTTGAGCTGCTTGCCTCGACTTGGACCCCAATCCAGCTCCAGCTTGGCCCCACTCCTCCCCCTGCAGCTAACTGAACCCCTCTCCCGCCTGCTCACGACCCGGGCTGCACCGTGCAATGCAGCCAGGACACCTTGAGGAAGGCTGTCCCTGTCCTGCACAGCTGGGACCCAGAGGCAGCAATGCCTGGGCTGGGGCCACCATCGGAAGTCAGATGAGTTTCCCTGGCAGCCTGTGACAGGGACCCACCCCGCATCCCTGCCTCTCCCCACCCCCCGGCGGAGCCCTGCTCACTGCCCTCCATTACTTTGTGGTCTGTGGGCCTCAAGATGAGGACAGGCGGGCAGATGGCCCCCCACTGCTGCCCCCTCCCCTCTGGAGAACGGAGAGGGCATGGCGCGTGGTTCACAAATGGGGCAGCTGTGCACACGGGAGGGGCAAGGACGGGCTGCTGACTCTCTCTCTCTCTCCCCCTCTCCCCAGCCACGTGGACACCAAGGAGCTGTGTGGTAGGTGCCCAAGATGGGGTGCAGGGGGATGGGAAAGGGCCTGAAGGAGGGCGAGGCCGTGAGGGGCACGGTGGGCTTGGGAGGCCGGTGGGAGGGGCAGAATCCGGGTTACCCCGACCTTTCCCTCCCCCACCAGATTATTTTGTGGACCACATGGGAGACTACGAGGATGTCTTGGCGTCCTTGGAGACACTGAATCACTCTGTCCTGAAGGCCATGGGCTACACCAAGAAGGTCAGTTTTCCTGCTTGTGTGACGACAGGGCTGGGCTGGGCTGGGCTCCTGGAGGGAGCTCGGATAGACTGTGGAGTGAGCGGAGCAGCTTGGTGAACGGCCCTTTATGCTTGTTTAGGGCATGAGGCCCCTTCCCACCTAATCGGGATGGGCAGCAGCTGTGACACCCATCCTTGGGCAGGTGCCACACCTGACAGACTCGTGCCTTTCCTTAGCAGGCCTACGAGACTGGAAGGGAGCACTGGGTTCATGCGTCGGCACCGACCCCAGAATCGGTGGTCTTATGGGAGAGGCAGGGAGCCCCCGCCGAGCTGGGAACTGTGGGCCGTGGAGGGGCTGTGTCCTGGAGAGAGGGCCTGCCCACAGTCCTGCTGCCTCGTGTCCACCTCGGAGGGTGGGGACAGGGCAGTGGAGCCAGGCTGCAGACTGGGTGCCACGAGCCTTCCCTGGGGCCTCTGTCCTTCTCCCTGGAGCCCTGACGGTCACAGCACCCTCCACTGCCCCGGGCTTCCTTCTCCGCACCCACAGGTCAGAGCCCCAGAGCCGTCCTGAGGACCTGCGGAGGCTGGCGCGTGCTCAGGCCCCACACTCCACATCTCCTTTGGTCCTCGGGACAGCCCCCGGGGTGGTCTTCACCTTCCATTTCATAGCTCTGGAAATGGGGCGCACAAAGGGAACCCAGCGGGGTCACAGCCACAGCTTCAGGGGACGAGGAGGGGAAACTGAGTCAGAGCCTGGCAAGACAGCGCACGGCAGGAGGGGAACCAGAGGGCTGTCGGCAGGGGTAGGGGCAGCCGTTTGGGCACACGAGTCCAGGCCCACCAAGAGGGAGCTGGAGAGGGCCCCAGGAGGACACCTGCAGGTAGCCGGGGCTACAGCCCACCGGAGCTCAGGGAGGCCATGCTGGCGGAGGCTGGGGAGCTGAGAGGACAGTGTCCAGCAGACCTGGCTGAAGGGCCCGAGCCAGTCACTTCCCTTCCTGAGCCTCATTTGCTCCCTCTGTGAAATGGGAGCTTCCGTCTCACCATCCTGGAGAGGACTGTGGCAGCCGCTTAGCACAGGACCTGCACCGAGCAGTGCGACCGGCAGTTTTCATCATCGGGCCCCTGTCGTATGCCCAGCATGGTGAGCTGCTGCCCGGTCACTGCCTGGGCACACATACTCTCCTGGCCCACCGTGCCGCTGCTTGAGTCCTGCTGCTTTCGAGTGTATTTTAACACCGTCGTAGAGTGACGCCCTGTTCACGTTGGTCTTTGAGCACCTTCTGTCCTGAAGCACTGTGAGGGCCCTGGGTCAGCAGGGATTCTGGGCCAGCTACAGATGGCCCATGGAAGGCTGCCACACGCCCCTGGGTGCTGTGCAGCAGGGACCCTCCGTGGCCCCTCTCTCCTCCTCCTCTGGGAGGGGGCTGCTCCCTGGCAGGGTTGGGTGGTGCTGCTGTTGGCCCTGGTTCGGCCCCCAGGCCCGGCTGCAGGCCCCCAGCCAGGAGGGGGTCTACCATCTCCTGTGCAGTGCAGGCCAGCCTGGCCACTGCCCCAGGAACTGTGCACCAGTCGCGGGTGGGGGCTGCTCTCTGTGGCCTTGGGTGGCTCCCAGGTCCTCGAGGTCCTCAAGGTGGTGACTGCCATTTCTTCACGCAGCCCATGGCTGTGCTCTGTTCTCATGTCCCCTGGCTGTAGCTGACCGCGTGCATCAGGCACCCCCCGGTCAGCAGCCCCACTTGCAGGTCCTGCTGCGCGTGCCCATCACGCTGGTGTGTCGCGTTTCCTGGATTCCAAGACACGGCGCTGACGCCCCCCAGCTGCCTGGTTGTGCTAGATTTTCAGTCTCCGCTCTAGGATTTTTCCACTAATTATGATATTAATGCCAGCTCTTATTTTAGAATCCGCTCCAGCCTGTTGAAGAGATGCGTCCGCCCGCCTTTATTAGATGCTGTCCTAGGAGGGTAGCGAGTTCTCTCAAACGCCACTGTGGTGTTTTGTTTTTTTAACCATCAAATGATTTTGCTCGAGCTATGGATGGTGGGTTCTATTTTTAGACTCCTGTATTGAACAGTCTGTGGCTCCCTGTGATAAAGCCTCCTGGGGACTTCGTTCTGTGGCCACTCTGCCCAGTCCTCAGCCCTGGCCCAGTGTTGCTCTCTCTCCTCCAGGGGCCTCAGGAGGGGCTTCTGGGCGAGTTCTGTGCATGAGTCGGCTCCCCAAACACGGGATCGTTCTCTACTCAAAAACAGAAGTCATCTGTGCTCTCGGGCTAAGGTGTTGCCAGAGGAGGGCGTGTTTTAGTAGGTACTTTAAGGCAAGCCCTGTTTTCGTTAATTTTTTTTTAACTTTTTGTGTTCATTTTAGTATATTTTTAAACAACTGCCCTGGATGTGTTTGGTTTTATGATCAATTACACATGGTATGGTCTTTGGACTATTTTTTAAAAATCTAAAACACCGTTTGACACACAACAGATTCATTTAACGCAGAGTAAGAACGATCAAACATCTACTATTGCCGCTCAGATCTTATTTTAAATTGATACCATTTTCTACATCTTAAAATCTTACATATTGAGGGCTGGGGTTGTGGCTCAGCAGTAGAGCACTCGCCTAGCAGTGCGAGGCCCTGGGTTGATCCTCAGCACCACATAAAAATAAATAAAATAAAGGTATTGGGTTTGATTACAACTAAAAAAAATTTACATATATATTTATATAAAATTTTAATCGTATATATGACAGGCCTGATTGAACTAGTTGTTTCTAACAAACAGCCCATACTTTTATTTACGTTTCAAGATACGTTTTCTGATTTATGTGTCGTTGTTACAAGCTCCTTCCCCATTCCTGGGGTTTGCGGTTGTGACTGTTTGGTCCCCCTCTCCGCCCCGTGTGAAACGGAATGCTTAGATGGTTTTGGTAACTCAGTTTGACCTTTGAGTGCTGTGTTTGGCCACCGTGGGTTTTGATGTGCCTTCTTTCGGTCCCACTGTTCTCTGATTAGTCTGCTGTTCTCATTTATTTTTCCTTTCATTGCTGTAATGAGATCGAGTGGACCATTCTGCGATGTGCGGAGGTTCTGAAGTGAATTTGCGGACGGTGCCAAACGGAGAGCTGTCAGTTACGCTCTGCCGGGCAGAACCCACCAGCGTGCCAGTGAGTGAGTGCTGCGTCGTTCCAAGTTCTCTGCATCTTGTGGAGTGATAAAAGCAGCTCCAAGACGGGATCACTTTTAGGTGGTCCCAAAAAGTGGACTAGACAAGACACACAGGGATCTCTTTTGTTTCAGAGACTTGCAGACGCTGCCTGGTGAGGTCCTGCGCCTCCCTGACCACCGTGGTCCGACTTCTCCTCCCTGTGGGGCGTGGAGGGCTCATTCCTCCACTGAGCTGTTGTCTCGTCACCTTTGTATCCAAACGTTTTTCCTTCTTAGTCTCAGCCAGGAGGTTTGAGGCGTGCTGACTTTCGTTACATTTTTATTGTGTAATGGTGGGTATTCAGCATGAAATTTTAGGATGTAGCGCTGACCTTTTAGATCACCCTGACCCCAGCAGCCCACCACGGTGAACACTGAAGGTTTTTACCTTTTCATACCTTTTTTCCACGTGCATTTCTTTAATGTTTTTAATATCATCCCATTAGAAAAGTTTATTTTCTGCTTCTCACCTAATATTTTGACAGTTCCCCCATGTCATTGAAAATGTTGAAAGCATGATTTTAAACCCTCCTATTTGGATCGGCTTGTGTTCCCTCTACTGTTGGCTGTACTAGGCTATTTCCAAGTTTTGGCTCTTAACCAGGTCCTGGGCGTGCGCGCGTGTTCACCGTTGCTCTCTCTAGTGGGGGTCATCGTAATGGAGGCATCGTGATCAGCTGCTGCGTCACACAGCTGTGACACCTGTGGCAGTTCCTGCCGCCCGCCATGGGGATCTAACTGTGGCACTTTCTCACTGAGGCGCTAGCTCTGCGGTGACATTGATCCAGTGCTCTGTGCAGAAGCTCTGTGTAGCTCTCGATAGTCCCTTGTGCTCTGGGGACGGTGCACCCTGGCAGATCACCGGATCACCAACCGGAGCTGCGTTTCCCTCGGGGATGCGGCCGCCTGTCTCCTGGCAGACGTTCTGTCCTGGCTGCTGCTGTGGTCTCCTGTTCTCCCGGTTTTTTAACCCTTCCTCATTTCTCCTACGTTTTTCTTTCTTTTTTTTTTTTTATTGTTCAAAACATTACAAAGCTCTTGACACATCATATTTCATACATTTGATTCAAGTGGGTTATGAACTCCCCTTTTTACCCTGTATACAGATTGCAGAATCACATGGGTTACACATCCACATTTTTACATACTGCCACACTAGTGTCTGTTGTATTCTGCTGCCTTTCCTATCCCCTACTATGCCCCCTCCCCTCCCCTCCCCTCCCCTCCCATACGTACTTCCTCTTGATGGTCTGCTGCTCGTTGATCAGGATTGAGAAGTTAAAAATCCTCATTGTCGTTTTACTAGTGATGTTTTTATTTTTATTTTATTTTTTTTTTAAAGAAAGTGGGGGGAGAGAGAGAGAGAGAATTTTTTTTTTTTAATATTTATTTTTCAGTTCTCGGCAGACACAACATCTTTGTATGTGGTGCTGAGGATCGAACCCGGGCCGCACGCATGGCAGGCGAGCGCGCTACCGCTTGAGCCACATCCCCAGCCCCAAACTAGTGATGTTTTTAAAGCACTAGACACCCTCAAATGCATTTTTGTACTTGGCTAATACAAAATCCTTTCTGTTCCTTTTGGGAATTAAGGAATTTCTGAGATTTGGGCTGTTTTTTAATGGTCTACTGACTTGATGCAGGGTCACTGGAGTTAGACTGTCCGGTTCACTTAGGGCCCCATAACCTGAAGGCTTGAGCTGCGTGGTCGCGGGTCCTGTGGGCACCGCTTCCCCGGGCCGAGCTTCAAGCCTCAGGGGAAGATGCTCATCTGGTGAAAGTCACAGATTCGCAGGTTGCTGGATATCCCCCGTCTTCCTGCATGTGAGTGACCGTCGGTGGGTGTGGAATTCGAGCTCTCTCTCTCCCCCTGCCAACTGCAGAGCTGGTCTCTTGGCTGAGGCCGCGATTGTGGCGGAGGAGGGATCTGGAAAGCTTTCTCTGCGCCCTGGAATACGGCTTCACAGGCCAGGCCATTATTGACCCGTCCCTGTCCCCGTCCTCGGCCAGTTTCCGGCTGTGCCCCTCTCCAGCAGCCTCTTCCTATGTGTTCCATTTTTTTTCTACCAAGTTAAGTCGTCTTGTTCATTTGTCCAGAGTCCAGCGGTCACTGGGCTGTGTGTGGCCTCAGCTGTTCGCTAGGAAGAATTAATCCATCAATGTGGTGCGCCCAGCCACCAGGACCCGCCACGTGGGCGTGGGACAGGATTCCTTCTCCCCCGGGTCTGTCCCCCGCAGCCCTGGCCGGGTGTTGACCCAGGACATTCCCGTCAGAGCCTTACCTGCCTCCCTCCTCGGCCTCTGTCTCTCCGCCATGTCTCCACTGTTCAGTTATTGCTAATTAATTCCCAGAGTGATGGATGGTTTAATTTGCTTTCCTTGGGAGCCCTGTTTTCCCTTGCCAGGGACTGGGCAGGATTCCAAAGTGCTGGAGCGGGTGGCCCTGGCAGGCGGGACCTCGGGGGGAGGCTGGGGAACACAGGGTTTGAGCAGTGGCCTGGTGAGCCGAGTCTTCCCATCTCCTGGGCAGCCTTTTGCAGCCAAAAGAATCTCAGTGATGAGAAGAGTCGGGGCTGGGGTCTCAGTACAGGGGGATGGAGCTTCACCTGGTCCTGGTCCTCGGCCTCCTGAGCTGCTCCCTCTCCCCACCCCCCACTGGGCTCTGCTTCCCCCACTCCTTCTGAGCATGAGCCTCGCTCTTTCTTTGGGGAGCCACTGTAACCCTCTGGCTGCATTTGAGTTTCTTCTGTCATTTCTCTTTAGCAACATGATACTCAAGAGCCCGAAGAATTCTCCTTGGAGGAGGGAAGAGGGAGCCAAATGATGACAAGTTCTTCCCTAATGCTCTGTGACGGCAACATAAACACCACTGCTGATCAGTGTTGTGCCACTGACCCCGGGCACCAGCCATATCATGATCGTTTCCTCCTCCACCACCACCACCATCATCATCATCACCATGATCATCATCACCACCACCACCCTCACTGTCATCACCATGACCATCACCATGATCATCATCATCACCATCATCACCACCCTCACTGTCATTATCATCACCATCACCATCACCATGATCATCACCATGACCATGATCATCATCATCCCACCACCATCACTGTCATTATCATCACCATCATCATCACCATCACCATCACCATGATCATTACCATGATCATCACCATCACCATGATCATTACCATGATCATCACCATCATCATCACCATCACCATCACCATGATCATTACCATGATCATCACCATCACCATGATCATTACCATGATCATCACCATGACCATGATCATCACCATGACCATGATCATCACCATGACCATGATCATCACCATGACCATGATTATCACCATCATCACCATGATCATCACCAACATCATCACCATCATCACCAACATCACCATGATCATCATCACCACCATCACCATCATTATCACCACCACCACTACCATCACTGTCGTCATCATCACCATCACCACCAACATCACACCATCACCATGATCATCACCATGACCATGACCATCACCATGACCATGATAATCACCATCACCATCATCACCAACATCACCATGATCATCATCACCACCATCACCATCATTATCACCACCACCACTACCATCACTGTCATTATCATCACCATCACCACCATCAACATCACACCATCACCACAACCAACATCATCACCATCACCTTTATCATTCCAGCTGGTTATTATTTGCTGTGACAGGTACTGGGCTGAGCATTTTATGTAGATGTGGTCATTGAATCCCCATTACAACTTTGTAAGATAGAGTACAGTGGCCCTGTTAGGCTCCAGTAGGCCGCAAGCTGGTAAGTGGTAAAACCTGGGTTTGGAGCTTGATGCCTGAGTTCATGCCCTGTCTTGGGTACTCTGCAGCCTCCAAGATGCAGAAGCAGCATCCCCTTCCCCCTGCAAAGCAAGGACACTGACCCCAGGTGCCTCACATCTCCACGTTCTGTCCCCACCCCTTCTCCATGTCCCTTCCCTTACCTCCACAGGTGTATGAGGGCGGGAGCAACGTGGACCAGTTTGTGACCCGCTTCCTCCTGAAGGAGACGGCCAATCAGATCCAGTCTCTGCTGAGCTCTGTGGAGAGTGCGGTGGAAGCCATCGAAGAACAGACTAGCCAGATCCGGTGCGTGGACAGGACCCTGCAGGGTCACTTGGGGTGTGCCGTGTGCACAGGCCAGCCTGCTACACTGGGCAAGCTGCTCCTCTGGGCCTCCGTGTCTCGGGCTGCAGCACGGGAGGATTATATACCTAGCTGCTTCTCGGTCACCGTGAGGAGCGGGTGAGGTGGGCTGCGCCGGATGCACGCCTGGTGTGCACATGCAGGGCCTGCACAGGACAGTTAAGGTGCCACTGGAGACCCATCAGGCTCGCTGCACCCGCCTGACACTCACTGTTGGTGCAGAGTGACCCTGTTGTCTGGCCCACTTTTTATGGTTAAGAGCGTCCCTTGCCATGGATGAAGTAGCGAGATAAGCCATGCTCTTGCTGGACTCCGGCCTCCAGGCCCCGGCCTCCTTGCCCACGGAGAGACTGGGCCATCTGCGGGAGGCACTGAAGAGGGGGTAGAAGCAAACTGAGGCTCTCCCAGGAGGACCGAAAGAGAAGTGAAAGTGGGTGGTCTTGTCACAGTGTCACTCAGTGTTCAGTAAGGACTTGTTCCTGCCTGGGGTCCTCTCATGGTGCCAGGTGGAGACTGTGTGTCTGGTTCCTGGAGAGGGGCACTTTTCTCCTTCCCCTCAACAGTGCCAGTCCCGGGTCACCAGCCCCCCGTGTGCTGCCCCGGGTTGAGGCAAACTCTCCTGCCCAGTTCTGCCCAGGGCAGCTGATGTGCCAGTGCAGTGGGGAAACAGAATCCACAGCTGCCAGAGAGCTTGGAGTTTCAACAGCCTCAGGCACAGTGCAGCCGGGACACGGGCTTGCCCTGGGCTGGGAGTTTGGGGTGTGTCCCGGCTGGCACGGAGCTGCCTCAATCAGATGTGATCGCAAAGGTGCTGACTGTGCCCAGCACCTGGGAAACCTAGGGTGCAGAGCCCCGGGCACGGGCGCTGGTGGGAATGCCCGCGCGGAGGCAGAGCTCCGTGTCTGTAGCCAGTCTTGATCCGAGAGCGGGTCGCCACTCTGGAAGCTGAGCCTGGCTCTGCAGTGCTGTGTGTTGTTTTCCTGTCCTGATCAGGACCTGCCGTTTTCATCCACTGTGGCACACGGGTCCTCCTGTGGTTCTCACAGATGGCCGCCTGCACCGGCCCTGCTTTCCCATGTCGGTGGCTACACCGGCCCGCCCCCCGCCCTGGGTCCCTGGGTCCCTGGGTCCCTGGGAGCAGCCTGTTTCCCCACCCAAGCAGCTCCTCAGGGTGTTGTGTTCCAGGCACAAGCCTCGGGTTCAAACCCCGCAGCCGGGGCCTCCCACTCAGCCCTTCATGGTCTAAGGGACACATTTAATTTGCTGCTGCTTTGTAGAGCTACCGTGATTGACACCTCAGAGCCTTTCCCACTCCCTGGGGAGCCAGGTTTGCTCCATCCACACAGGAGAGCCGTGCTGAGCGGTCAGGGTTCACAGGAGATGGATTCCAGAGTGAACCAAGGCAGCGATGCTCGGTGACGGGGTGTCACTGCTGCAGGTGCTGGCGGGTGTGTGCGCTCCATCCCTGGCCTGTTTCCCAGCAGCCTTGTGCATGAGGAGTTGTTTGTTTACCAGGCGTTTTTCAAAGTCCCTGCCATGCACAGTGCCTGTTGAGCCGTGTGCAGGCAGCCAGCTGGGCCCCAGGTCAGTGTGCCTGGGGGAGGGGTGCAGGGGCAGGAGAGGCTAGGATCCCAGTTCCGTCCTGCCGTGTCCCCACTCTCCATGTCTTTTAGGACACCCGTTTTGGGAGTCTTGTAGTGCCAGCCCAGATCCCCCACACCAGGAGGCACGTAACCCTGACTGGCAGTGGCGCAGGGAGGGGGACTTGGTATCCGCACAGCCTGGGCCCAGCAGGTGCCTGGGGACGCTGTGAGCTGCTGGGCAGGAGGTGGGCATCTGCCCCAGCCTTGCCCAGCCGGGTTCCGGCCCTGGCTTGACCAGCTAGCCTTGGCCAAGTCACCTGCTCTGTGGGCACTGTTTCCACCTCTTTCAAAACGAAGACAAGTCGCCCACTCCAGGGGACAGGAGTCCGCAGGTGCACTCTGGGCACACTGCAGCCACAGTTGGTGCTTGATAAGTGCCTGTTGAAGCTGCTGAATGTGTCCAGGGTCCTGCGGCTGTCGTCATTGTCTGTTTCCCCACTTACACTGCAGACAGAACCACGGCAAGCCCGACCACGGGGGCATGGGCACCTGGTATGGAAGCCCCTCTCCTCCCCATGCCCCCAACCACAAGCTCATGGCTGTGGAGCCAGGGAAGAGCCTGCCATCTGGTGAGAGAGAGCTGTGGCCCTGGGGGGGAAGGGGCCTGCCTGGGAGCCTCAGGATTCTGAGTGCCCAGGTGGGGCCTGGGGAGGGCTGGGTGCTACTACCCCAGGCCTGGCCCTGCTTACCACCACGGTCTGTGCTTCTCAGTCACTGGGGACCCAAAGGAGGAGGGTCTAGAAGCCCAGATCAGCCGGCTGGCAGAATTGATTGGGAGGCTGGAGAACAAGGTAAGCCCAGCCCCGCCTCTGCCTGACACCCCTTTCTCCCCAGTGGTGCCCACATGCACACACAGAGCAGCTTGGAGATCAGGGCAGGAGTCGGGGAGCCATGGGACGGGTCCCCCCAGGTGAGGCATGGGGGTGGAGAGCAGACTAAGGATGGGCCCTGGCCTTGAGGACTGGCAGGCACCCCAGGAGCAGAGTGGCCAGTGGGGTCCCGTGCTGCCAGGGGACATCACGGCAAAGAGGGCTCTGCACTGAGGTAGCAGTGGCCTGAGCAGGTGGAGCCACACAGTGGCATCATGGTGCGTGAGATCCAGGACAGTCAGCCCCAAGGGACTGGTCACCAGTAGGAGATGGACTGAGCACAGCGTGGCACACCCACAGGTGGGGGAATGGCACAAGGACACAGCCTTTACAGGGTGGCTTGTGATCAGTGGAGTCCCCCATGTGCCTTGGGGCTCAGGTGGCTCAGGGATCATCTGTGGCGTTGAATTCTGGCTGTGCCACTCACCGGGTGCTGCTAGGATTAGGTAAGATGATGTCTTGATGGCTGACCTCAGAGCCAGGCTCCCAGTTAGCACTTACAGTTAGCAGGGTCAGCAATTATTGTCACCAAAAGGCTCCAGGTACACATCCAGCTACGGGATCTCCGCTAAGGGTGTGTCAGCGCTCTAGGATGGAGGTGACATCGCTTCTACTTTTCTGTATTTTTTCACATCTTTTGCAAAGGACACTAGGACTTCGGTGGGCTTGGGGTTGGGGAGGGATTCACGGGGGCAGAGTCAAGCGGCTTCCCACCCGAGGGAGGCAGAGGCAGAGCTGGAGGGAGGAGGCTGGCATCCCGTCGTTGTCGCAGGGCTGAGGCCGAAGCGGGATCCCGCCCCCTCACAGCCAGCTGCCGGGGTGGGAGCGGCTAGGGGACCCTGGGCCCGTTGTCATAACAACTCCGCGGGCGCCTCGGGAGGGAGGCTCTTTGAAGCTTATTTTTAGCGCTCGGTCGGTCGCTCTAACGACGCGGCTGGCTGGTAACCATGGAGCACCTGGGCCTCCTCCCCTCCCGGTCTCTGGTTGGCCCAGGCCGTGAGCAGGGGCCAATCCGGGCCCGGCTCCAGGCCCCGCCCCCGCGGGCCCACCTGAGCCGGCTCGGCCTAGCCGGCCAGGGAGGGTGAAGGCTCGGGGGGG